TGATAGGCTGATTGAGCGGTAATGCTCTAGAGATGAAACGCATCGTTCTGGTATGAGAATAAAACATAATTCCTCTCAAGGTACTGATGTTTGGCAGAAAGCAAAAAATAAATTACTGCGAATGCTATGGTTTATAGACATTTTTGAGAAAGATTTCTCAAAAGCACATACATAAATCATTTTCTGTGTTCCACTAAAATTGGGACCACTTCTTTCCTGAAACACTGGAATTTAAGGAGGCACACTTGAGATTTGCCCACAACTCTGAGACTACATACTAAGGTATGAAAGAAAATACCATTTCCATTCTTCATATGCGGTGTTTTTGAAACTAAGAGACTTAACACTTGAAAATCAACAGTCAGCCCTAATGCAACTGTTTAATCTTCCCTTTATGAAACAGTAACAAATTTCAAGTATAATTCTAAGGCAATAGAGGACAAGGTATTTTTTAAGGTAGAAAAAATATATTCAGGATAAACAATATGAGCATAATCTAAAACATTATCGAAACAGTAACATAGTATTTAGGCTTTAGAGCTGTCCTTCAAACTGTTTGCCACAATTCTGAGTTTGAGATAGAGACTAGATGGAAGCAAGCCCCCGGAAATAATGTACACTTTGTAAACAGCCATGGAACATTTTATTTAGAGTAGTCTCCATGGTAGGGTTAAGTTTACACAATAAATTACTCTAAACACTGAGTAAAAATAATATGTACTTTTGCTCCACGGAATTCTGATTACAATGGATTGTTACCTGCTTACAAAGCATTGTATTATATTTCCTTATCCACTTCTACCCAATGTCACTCTGCCTTTTTCATTTTGAAAGGTTTTGCTTCCCTCTCCCTTCTTTTTCCTCTTTATTCCTCTTTTTATAAACAACTACAGTCTATCTTTACCTCTGCTGTCTGGCTGTATTTTTCCACTGCACTGACAACTACCAGTGAATATAAGAAAGATGAGTTGTAGGCTCCTGTATTTTTGAACAAGGTAGCAAATCACAGAAGAATCCAGTGCATAATTCTGCTAGGCTAACCATTGGGAGCAGTAAAGACCATTATTTTCTGCCTACTGATGGCAGAGGTCAGCATCCCTGTCATTAGCTGTGTCAAACTACAATTATATATAACTACAATTATATAACTGCACTTTATGTGAGCAGATATATGAAAAAATGGTAAAGTTTCAAGTATGAAAATTAAAATATACCTATCATTCTTGCAGTACTGATCAAAGTGGTCTTTGGAGGTGACACTTAACAGGGAAAGCCATGAGGCTGTTATTTACTTCTCTCTACATAAACATTTAAACTTATCATCTGACTTCTTCAGGCAGCTTGAAATCACTTGGCCATATTCTATCAAATTAAGACACTTGGATTATCAAAGTTATTTCTTCTATATCATTCAACTCAATTACAGAACGTGGCATTTCCTAAAATAAACTTCAACTGAACAGACTACTCGCATTAGCCTGAACATATCTGAACTGCAATTATGCTTCAAGTTTCAAGAAGCGAACAGTACAACCCCAATGCTAAATCTGTCCAGCATAAGAGCTCCACTATGTTATTTCAAAGGCTGACCTATATACCAAAGCATACTGTCCATTCTGTCTGTTTGTATAAGAGATACCTCTCACAGTTGTCATAACCAACATTGTTTGCATTGTTCCTTCACTTTTCTCTCTCCATGGGTAATGCAAGAGAAACAAGGAAAAGCCTGCATAACAATATATGCAGAGTATAATGAGCTTTCACAGCAGATAGAGAAATATTAGGCTAAGATGCTTAGAATGCTATTTTAGGTTTATAAAATAAAGATCTAAGCAGTCTTCTGAAACAAAGCCTGCCAACTGAAAATTGTAAGATAAGAGGTGATTGTTTGAATCTACATTATTTTCCTCTGGCTACAGAAAAATGCACAGTCAATACCTCCCATGCATGTGCCTGGGAACTCGTATGCTACAAACAACCATCTGATCGGGGAAAAAACTAGTGCTAACAGAACAATTAGAAAACTTAAAAGCCTAAGTATTTGTGGAATACATTCTAAATTACCATCAGCTCAAGCAGACTTCAAATGTAAAGAATCAAAGTCTGGCAAATTTGTAAAAGGAAAAACACCACCAAAACCTAGGTATGAAAAATAGGGCCAAATCCACTAATGGGTGCCAAAAGCAGGTTTTAACTAACTTTACAAGAAACAAGATCCCAGAGGATCTTGAATGAGTTCTGAGTGAGTTTTGCAGGTAAACACCTAATGAAAACCACCATTTTGACCCAGAAAAAGGATCCATCACACTCCAGCCATCATCTTCTTTCCTGGGAGAGTTTAAAAGCAAACACTCAACCAAACATACTGAACAGAAAATTCTGCAGGCCTCCCGCCCTTCAAACTCCCTAAATACACACAGCCTGAAAATGAGTGACAGAGCAATACTGTAACATGACGACATGTTTAGAACAAGTCAGATAAGTTTTCACAGCAATGTTAATCATGCTGGGCAAAGGAAGAGAGTGAGGGGGTGAAAAATGAAATCTTCACTAAATGTATGCCTCCAAGGGGCCTGGAAAATCTACTCTGTCCATTTAATGTTATCAATGGTCAGTGGTAAAGACATCCGAGAAAGACATTTGTTCTGTACTCGATATCTTATATTGAAACATTCCTGGTAAGTCTTTTCCAAGCATAAAACATATGTCTTATGACTGTGCACTTTTAAGCACATTATCAGTTCAGGCAAAGTGAAATAGAAGAGTTGCAACTTGTCTACAGAATGAGCGTCTCATTTGCATTTGAAAAGAACAGTTTGCTCCCTCATACATGGCATGACTTGAAAGAAGCTTTAACCAGCTAGTAAAGAAATTCTGAAAACGACTTTCCAAATTAATTTATTCGATTTGGAGTGCAACATACCAAAAATTATTTAAGGAACTTAATTGGAAAATGATTTAATATATTAAAGTAATTCCTGATTTTCCAAAGCATTTAACTTTTAAATTAAATCTGGCCCACTATCTCAAGAATGATGAGTGAAATGTGTATTCAAGTCATTACCTTCTTTCTGAAGCTTTAAATCATTGATAGGTTTAATAACGTTTGTCCAGTTTCACTGCCAAACAGGTCTTCAAACACTTTAGTTCTTATGGCATTAATATCAGCCCAAGTTTTTCACATGGCAACATTTCACTGCTACAAATTTACAAATCTGACAATAGAGAAAATAACAGCAAACCAGAGATGAAAAGTAGCAGTAGCCTCATGATTACTCAGAGCACTAACAGAAAGTTAATGAACACATAAATGCTCCTTCGCATTTGAACTCTTCCTGCTGAACCAAGTTCACTCCTGGCACAAACTTCCAAAATATAGTGCACGTTTGCCAGATGCTGCAAAATAGTCACTTAAAACAACGCTAACAGTCATACCTCTGGGATCTCTCTTGAAATATCCTGAGGCATCCACCACAAAGGGCCAGATTTATCCCTGGATTCTATAACTCCATTGAGTATATGTGAAATGCAGCCAGGATGAATTTGGTCCTTTCTGTTGTGATTGGTAGATGCGACCATGTGGGAAACCTTTCCTGAAAACTGAGAGGGCTTCACCCGGGCGCCGCAGCCTCCGCGCCCCAGCACAAGCACACTCTATTTTGCTGTTTATCTCTGAATCGAGGGAGGCAGCTGCCCGGGATGAAAGGGACGGCTCGGAACGTCTCTATGACACGTGAGACCGTCACGACAATAGCTGGGCGCGGGACCGGGCCGGGCCGGGCCGGGGGCTGCTCCTCCACGGTAGCGCCCCGCCGGCCCCCGCGCCCCGCCGCCCTCCGCACCCGCGGCCGGCCCCGCGGAGCCTGCGCACGGCGCGGCTTGCGCTGCGAAAAGCCATCTGCTGCTGCAGCCCGCCACGGGCTGCCACGGCGGGCTTCCAAACAGGCTCCCGAGCGCGCAGGTTTGAACACATCGCTCTCTCCCGGCTTGCTCCCCCTTGGCCGGGCTGTGCTCGAAGGAGTGCTCTGGGTAACTCGCACTTTCCGATCATTTGCTACGGCCAGCATTTTATTCACGTGCAAAGCCCATTCCGTAACAGCAGAGAAAGTGCAGCTCATACATAAAGCACCAGCTGGCTCAGGCTACAGCGGCAGTAACAATGCAGGGACCCCAGCCCCCTTTCTCGGCAGCAAAAGTCACGCAAAGTGCTCCGGGATCTCAACACCAAACTCTCGGAACTGGACTCAGGGTTTGGGCTAGCTCGTGTATCCTCTGCGATTCCTCCTTCCCCAGGGCTCGGGGACCTAAAACTTAGCTTTCCTCAGGTACTGACCCTATCTGCAGAGGTTTAATCAAGTTACAGAGAAATTGGTAATGCAGTTGCACAGCCGGGACAGAGTGGAGCCGATGTTCTGAACCGACTTGTCAACACTATGCAGACTTACATCCACATCTCTCCATGTGCATAGTGTGTGTGTGTGTGTGTGTGTGTGTGTGTGTGTGTGCCTGTGTGTACACACACACTTATGTCACACACAAACACAAACGTGGTTTTCGGCTTTCTGACACATGAACTGCCGGACAGAGTTTCTGCCGGTTTGTGGCGGGCGCGATCTTTCTCATTAAAAAGAGCCCTGGAAATTCAAGTCCCCCGCACCAACATCCCCGTCCACGCCGTTTCTCCGAAAAGATGTTATGGAAAATGCCTCCCCCACCCACCCCCCCGCTCCAGCCGCCCGCCCCCAGGCTACTCCGGGGGTTTAATTTGGGGTGCCTGGGGGGGAGCCGGTGTGTGTCCCGGCGGCACCGCTCCGCGGCGGGCGGCACTGCGCTCCCCAAACCCCAAACCCCGGCAAGTGCCGCTGCCCTCCCTCCGCCTCGCCGGGGAACTTGGTGCGCGGCTCGCCAGAGCGCAGCGCCCGCTCATGCAACGCGCCGCGACAACAGCACACACCGACAGCACAGATAAAACACCTCGGACGACACAAAACACGAGTCACCTTGTTGCAATAGTAGGGGTCCAGGCAGGGGGAAGGTCCCAAACAAGGCGTATCAGGAGCGGCTGCAGGCTGAGGAGGTGGTGAATAAAATCTTACGTCCATTTCACTAAAACATCAAGCAAACTCCTTTCCTTTTCTTTTGGTCGTTAATGTTGGTGCAAAAAAAGGGGGGGTGTGAGTGTGTGTGTGTGTGTGTGTGTGAGGGAATAGGGGGGACACACAAGACTGAGAAGAATAAAAAAAGAGGTGCCTGACTTCAGTAGTCAAACACCTTCCCTGCCTCACATCCGTTTGTGGTTTGTAAAGAGAGAGAGAGGAGAGGAAAAAAAAAAATCTCTTCCAAAAAAGCACCGGTCTGCAGATGTCTGCGAGAGAACCCACGAACCCTCCTTCTTCTACGGCAGGGCAGGTAACTTCGAGTACTTATTGTTTCCCCCACGCATCGGCACCGGGGCGCTCGCTCCGTGCGTGCCGCTCTTTATGGGAGTCTCGGAGTTGGTTCGCTTCTCCCTCCCTCCCTCTCGCTCGCTCCCTCTGTTCTTTTCCCGTTCTTTCTTTCTTTCTTTCTTTCCTTTTTTTTTTCTTCTTTTTTCTATTTTTTTTTTTTATTTTATTAATATTATTATTGTTTATTTGCTTTGGTTTGGTGGAGGTGTATTTTGGTCGCCCACCACAGCGAGGGCCTTGGGGGGTACGGGGGGGGAGGTGGAGACAGCAGCCGGGCCCCCCGCGCACCCCCGGGGGGAGCGGGGCGCCGAGGCGCTGGAATGGCCACCCCGAGCCGTCCGGCTCTCTCGCTTCGCTCGGCTCGGCTCGGCTCGCCTCGGCCCGGGCCCGGCCCGGCCGGGCTGGGTTGGGTTGGGTTGGGCTGGCGGCGGTAGGGGACGCACCGCGCTCCGCCGCCGCTTCGAGTGTGCCTCACACAAAGGGGCCGGCGAGGGAAGAGCCATTTGTGGCCGCCGGGGCCGGGAGCCGCGGAGAGGGGGCGCTCCCGCGCCCGCCATCCCGCCGCCGTCCCCGCCCTCAGCAGCGCCCTCCGCCCGGCCCCCGGCGCCGCCCGGCCCCCGCCCGTTACTATGGCACCCCCTGCGCGCCGCGGGGCCGGGCCGGGCCGCGCCGCAGGCAGAGCCGGGCCGCGGGCAGAGCCGGGCCGGGCCGGGCCGGGCCGCAGGGGAGGCGGCAGGGAGCGGGGCTCGCTCCGCTGCCTGGGATTGGGTGGGTCGGGCCAGTCTGCCGCTCTGGCCGCGGGCAGGTCTCTTGAGGTGATTCTGTGAGACCCTCGGACTCGTTTCCACGGACGTTTGGCAGAGTTGGCGTCGGACGACCCCTCTGCCCTGGCAGCCCTCTGAGGCTGGTGTGGGTCGAGCTGCCAGCAGACCCCGTCGTCCCCAGTCCCGGCAGAGTGGAAGCTATCGCCCAGAGTTTGTGGTGGCACAAATACGCTGTGATCCATGAACATGTCCCAGAAAACAGGAAACAAGTTGGAAGTAAAGCGCACCCGTGAAACACCTCGTCATCTGGGGTCTGCCCATTAATCACGATGCTCAGGTCTGACCGCACAGGGTGACACCAGGCACAGGATGAAGGAGGGACATTTGAGAAGATGGCCTAACTGAGAGGGGAGGAAGGAAGGACAAGGGAGTGGGGTAGGGAAAATGAAGAGAAGCTCAATTAGCAGCAAACAAGGGTGCTGACAAAGGAAAGTTCGGAATCCAGTGGGATGCGGGAAAGGGATTGATGAGCATAACAAGGTTTAACAGGCAAAAACAATGAAAGAAAAGGTGACTTCAAGACACCAAGAGCAATCCCACTGGGTTTCCTGCTGAGTCTCCAGTAGTCTTAATCAGGGCAGAAAGGATGGAAGAGAAAGAATACAGGAAGGACACTATGCTGGGCTTAGATAATGTCCAACAGAGGAATTGTGTTATGAAAAGAAAGGAATGCTTTTCCCTCTTTAAATAAAATCTAATTACTGAGTGCCACACAAACTAGCTGAGATGATGATGATTAACAGGAATGGTTACATTTATCAATACTCATGAACATTTCCATCACAAACCAGTTAGAGTCTAAAAATATTTGTAATGCGTGTTGCCACACAAAACTGTCTTCTCATCACTGCAAAACAAAATCCACTGTAAAGGTTTCAAGAGGATTCAGTATTAACGGGGAGCAAATCACAAATTTCAGGTGAAGAAATGACTGTGTGAGGGCATACGTATGTATACACAGAGATATATAATCTTCACCTCAGATATTTTGATATTGTAGAGTCCTTCAAGATAGTGTTAAGTCATGACATCCTTCCATGTCTAACAACCTGCTTTCATTAAAGCTTAATTATCTGAAAAAAATACGTAAGTAATGCAAATGAAACTCTAGAGAAAGCAGGTTGGAAGCAATATTCCAATTTCAGGATTATTTGATCAAAAACATCTCTGAAGATACTTGATTGTCAGTTCAACAGAATTTAAGTTTGATGGCGATAAATACTTTTCTTAAACATGCAATTACAAAAAGATGTCAGTTGCTTTCTTTTTAATAATGTTTGAAACCCTTCTGGCCGTGGAGAAAAGCTTGAAAACATGACCTAGAAAAAGCTCCAGGAAGCAAAGGAAAAGACATTAACATATTAAGAAAAAAAAAACACAAAAAAAATCCAAAACCTCATGATTTTTTGGCATCTGACTCATTATTTTGCATGTTTGGGATTAGACATTTTGAAAGTTAAAAAATCCTAAAAAAGACTTTCCTTTGCAAGAGATGTACTTGACGCCTGACAGATATATCACTGCTGCAAATGGCTGATATGTGGACCATAATTTGACAAAGTGAATGAGAGATTGCGAGCTCCATATTGAAAAGCTGCTGTTGAGAAGCTTGTTATTCATGGACAGTGGATTGGTTTTCAGCCTGTTGTGGAGAGAGGTGGTAGAGATATAGCAATTTGAGATGAGTTGATCTAGGCAACCAGTGTGTGCAGGCACATACAAGTGTATACAGGTACAGAAATGCTAATGCAGAGCTGGAGATGTCAATACCAGAATGACTAGAATGTCTGATAATAAAAAGTAAAGAATTAGCTTTTTATTTATGTGAAATATTACTGCCTTAAGAAGGGATTCAGGTTCCTTGGAGTCTGTAGGAGTTTACAACTGTACCGTTTGCTTTGCACAGCACTTCAAGTTATTTTCAGTACTTAATGATGCAGACCTCGAGAGTTATAAAATTTTTGCTGCTACTTACAGAGACGATTTAATCATCAAGATGGTAAAACACCTGAGATTTGTGGCAGTTATCTGTACAGTTTGTAAAAATTAAAGAGCTATATATATTAATCTGTTGGACATTCTTTTGTTTTGTAGGGAACATTTTCTCTAGGGTTTTCAGAATAATGCATTTGTGGAGACCAGAACTGAAACTGTTAATAATTGTTAGTAGTTGTTAATTGCTAATAATTGTTATTAACCTAATATTGGTTAATACTGTTATTAACCTAATATTGTAGGTTTTGCCTCTACGGACTGAGAAAGCAAGGGCCTTTGTAGCACAATTTAATGGTATATCAAATTTGGCCACTTTAGCTCATGGAAGTGCATTTTCCAGAAAAAAAAAGTTGAAACAGATTTAAAAGAATGAATCAGTTTTTAGAAGCTTAAAAGGAAAGAACATTTGTTCAGAAGGGCACTGAGTTTTTAAAGCCATTCAACATTCAAGTGAATGTCTCCAAAATAGTCTTAAAAGAGGTTGCTAACCAGCATATGGGAAGAGTGTTATTGCCTTTCTCGTATAAATAGGAACAAATGCCTTGAGGAACATGATCTTTATCTGCCAATACTAAAAAAGTTATTCTTTTAAATATATCTGCTGGAGTTAGACTGTGCCGTGTAAATACTCTCCGTGCAATGGAGAACTCGTATGGCATTCCTTGCCAAACAGCATTGTGGATGCAAGAGGTTCACACAGCAGACTGGAGACCTGAGAAGGTCATTCGATAGACAAACCACAAATGGATCAGTAACTCCTCTGGGCTGAAAATAGCTGGAGGTAGAGACAGGGGGGTAGGGAATGGTAGTATGGAAGTATTGTACACGTTTGCCCTCAGTTTGGGCTGTCATATCTAGAGCCATCATTGGAGGCAGAATACTGGTAGGGCAGATCCTCGGTCTGAACCAGTCCCGCAATTGGCACATTCTCATTTGAGAATGCACAGTCTTTGCAGTGGTCACATGAACAGAATTAAATGAAGCAAGTAACTAGGTCTGATATGACAGGTTATTTTCTTGTGTATTCTACTGTCTGACACAGCTAGTCTGTCTAGTGTGTTGGGGAGCCATCAGCAGACGTAACTCATGTCCTCAGCCAAAGAGAAAGAAAGTATTTTAGTTTAAAAAAAGAATAGTCCAACATCTTTTTGTTTAAATCTCCCACATTTAAATCTCACTCTTAGTTTTATTTGGGAGCCCTAGACATCTGATCATCTATTATAAAGAGCAGACTTCTTGATTTTCCTAGAAAGAAGGAAATGTGAGACTGTGATGATGGCTTAGTATTTATTATACATAGGCTAGGCACCACAGGAATCTCTTCATGAGGCTGGCTCTTCTTTAAAGAAAAGTCTTCTCCTGCATATTTTTAAAAAGAGTTGGATTGGGAAATCATTTAGCTTCTTGCTTTGTGAGCTGTACTTTAGTAGCCGGGAGGTACAGATAAGCTAAAAGGAGACCAGTGAGATTTTGCTGAGAAAATCCCTCCTGCTGAAATTTTTGATTTACTAACTAACTCACAGGACTGTTTACCTTTCATAACAAAGGTCAATGCCCATCATTTTCTAGATAGTAGTTAATTAAATAATAATAGGATGAAGGGTCTGTTGCTTTTGTGTGGATGTCCTGTTTCATGTTCATAAACTGGATATGACACTTGGATCTGGGAAGATGCAAACAATAATGATATTAAGATTGCAGAATATTTTAAACAATGTAATTAATCTGGTTGTTTCATCAGAATTAACTCAAATACTTTAAGAAATGTATTCATTTTAAGTGTTGACATTCTCTGTGTGCATTTATAAGTGAAGATAAATCATTGTGAAAAAAAAGATCTTCAGTATGGTATCAAAGCTTACTAGGTATAATATATATTTCAGAGTATTTAAATAGTTTG